CCTCCTCTCTTTTCCGCGAATCGACGCTAGGAGACGTCAAACGCGCCGAGGTCGTCGGAGACGCCTCGCCGTCTGACGCTGCGTGCGGGCGGCGACGTCGTGTGGAAGGACGCGTCAAGCCGCGAGGCAGATAAGGACACGTCGTGGAACTCCGTGTGACGGCGAGGGAAAGGGAACAGTTGGCGGGAAGGCGCATTCACTTGTGTAGTTGTGTTGCGCTTCCTGCACTATAGAGCCTATATATTATGGTTACCCTATATGCCTCAAGGGAGCCGTATACAGGGGCTCTGGGGCAAGCTTTGTGCAGTTAGGGTAAGCTACAGTGATTCTCGGGTAAGCTAGTATAACTCTAGGGTGAGCTGTACGACTCAAAAAGTAACCCTATACATAGTATGTTAGTGTAACTATAGAGCAAGCCAATGTAACTGTGTTTCCGGAGTCCTCCACTACGGCGTCTCTCATAATCATATAGTGGTTTCGGGACGTTAAACCCCACATATCATCATCATCAGTGTAACTGTGTGTTAATCTCGTGTGCTCTATAGAGTAAGCGACGGTAGTCGTACGGTAATACGACTAATAGTAATAGTTTAACGCCAGGGCAAGCCAATGAAACTAAACTAACTTTATGGCAAGCTGCAGCAATTATAGGTTGGGTTAGTGTAACTCCAGCGTGACTACAGTGCGCAGTAGCTCTTCTTAAGCTACAGTAGTTCCGAGTCAAGATTTTGTAACTCTTGGGTGGCTTGCCGTCAACTGCTATATAGTTGCGGTATATGGCCCCTTAAGGAGCCAATTACAGTAATCCTAGCTTTTTTTTTTTTTTGCGAAGATTTCGAGGGTTTCAAGAAGAGTTCGTTTACCAGTGACGGCTGCGTGATGCTGTTCTATAAGTGTTGATCGGTATATAGCACAGACTGTTCATACCTCGGTATGATGTCATCAGTTCAATGCAGCTAGTTTAATTGCGCCTCCCTGGCGCAATTAAACTAGCTGCATTGAACTGATGACAGACCACACTTCTTCGTCAAACAAAAATGTCTGAACGCAAATGGCAACTGCACAATGGCCTTCTCCGACACCGGCGTACAAAAACGTGCGTACGGCTGCCATTCAGAAGGGGCAAAGATTCGTCGCCCCCCCCCCCCATCCCAATTATATCAATGCATGAGGCAGAAGTACTTTTTTGCTGGGCCAGTTGGTACATCGTTATGAGGGGAAAAAAGTTCAGACGTCTAGAACACCACAAGAAGAATGTATAGATGCACAAGGAAAGAGCGTCACTTTTCTGCGTTCTTCTTGTGGCATTTTAGACGACTCAAATTTTCAATCATTACGGGGCTGACTTTGCGCCCATCCTCATAAATCACCAAGGTGGACGTATAGACACGTTCGTATTCCATGATCTATTTTGCGATGGTTTCTTAGCAGTGCGCTCTAAGAAGTTCGGCTGTTTTCCTCTGCTTGACAAATGCAGCATTTTGGCACAAAACAGAAATAAGCTTCCACGCGAGCACGTGGAATCATAGAAGCGTGAGAGATCGAAAAGAGAGGTGACAAGTGTATTAGCACGCCTACGCTGACATATAGGGGGAGGGGTCCAACCCGCTCCACAAACATGATAGCGACGAAGGCTGCAACAAGACGGTGCAATACGCAATTCTTCATTTGGGTGAACTTGTACGAAGCAAATGTAAGTAAATCCGAGTATGCCTTTAGAATGCTCGACCCGCGACCAGGAGGTCACGGGTTCGATTCTGGCCGTGGCGGTCGCATTTAGATGAAGGCGAAATGGCCCGTGAACTGTGCGTGTGAGCGGTGCACGTTAAAGAACCCCCCGGTGTTCGAAATTTCCAGGGCCCTCCACTACGGCGCCTTGCACAATCATATCGTGGTTTCGGGACGCTAAACATTAGATATTATTATTATTATTATTATTATTATTATTATTATTATTATTATTATTATTATTATTATTATTATTATTATTATTATTATTATTATTATTATTATTATTATTATTATTATTATTATAAGTAGTAGTAGCAGTAGTAGTAGCAGTAGTAGTAGTAGTAGTAATAGTAGTAAAATAAGTCAACCTACCAGCAATTCACGTCGTACGCCGAGTAATCCGATCTGCAGTAAAGCGCACCGGCCTCTCCGTACCTGTGACATCGAACATTATAGTGCTATATATCTCTGATGGTCGCGTTAGTCCCAAAATGAATTCTCACAGGTTCCAAGACACTCGGACGCCGTTTACGCTAGGCAGTGATTATATAACCGAGGGCTACATAAAAAGAAAGTATGGGCGAAGCCCCTTCCTAAAAAAGGTATAATAATATCTGAGATTTTACGTCATAAAACCACGATGTGATCATGAGAGAGACGCCGTAGTGTAGGGCTCTGGAAATTTTGACCACCCGGGGCTCCTTAACGTGCACTGATATCACACGTACAGTCTTCTACAATTTCACTTTCATCGACATGCGACCACCTCGGCCGGAATCAAACCCGCGACCTCTGGACCTCCCTCTCTCTTAAAGAAAAAAAAGCTCCTTCCCGCGCCAATCATGAAAAAAACGGTGAACTAGGCAGCATTCCTTGGTTCACTCTCCTTCTTTGTTGATCTATTTCTGCCTTTTTTTTCCTTTTAATTATTCTCCCCTTTCTCCCTTTCAGTATCTCTCTATATTTCCTTTTTTCTTTTTCTATGTTTATACGTTGTTTCGCCCGCGTTACGCCAAGCGATGATGACAGCATGCGACAGCCCGGACCCCTCAAGTGCAAACGGCCCATGGAGTGCACCGCACTTTGTGGCTACGTCACTGCTCTCCGAGGGCACGCTCTGGAGCAGACCTCAGTGCGCCATGTAACCGGCCCTAGTACGCCCTCAATACAACGTTCAACCTCTGCAACACCCCCGACGCCGCGAAACGCCGCGAAACTCTGCGATTCCGCCTCGGAATACGCAACGCCTTTGCAATGCTCCGTCGCTTTCGCGGCATCGCGAACGCAAATTGCGCGACGGCGTTACTGGGGGCCGTGGGCTCAACAAATGACGAAGATACATCGCTTCCGACCGGCGCGACCCCTGTAATTTATTCGTCACTCTGTGCATAAAGCGGCCGATTACGGCGCGTTCAGTGCTTCCCCTGCGACGATTGGCGCTTCTGCATCGACCTGTAATCAGACTCGTACTGAACCGCGAGACGTTCGCAGGAGAACCAGGGAGTTCGATGAACTCTGCAAGACCGGCGATTCCTGTGCATCCACACGTGGAACCGAAATTCTGTGCCCGTCGCATTTTGTAACACATGAGAAGCGAAGGTTTGCGCCACACGCCTAGCTCCAACAATAGTACTACAATTTACACATATCTATTAGTTCAAATCACCCAGGAAATTTTCGACTTTGCTTGCGTATATATATATATATATATATATATATATATATATATATATATATATATATATATATATATATATATATATATATATATATATATATATATATATATATATATATATATATATATATACGCGCAAAAACAAACATTGGTGGGTTCAGGTAGTTGTTATAAGGTGCGCCCAGGTCCCTTTCAGGATGAGTAACCCTAAACAACCGATCCCTGGTCGGTATTCACCTCTACCTCTCAGGTCCCTTTCAGGATGAGTAAGCCTAAACAACCGATCCCTAGTCGGTGTCCACCTCTACCTCTCAAGGAAAGCCATTGGGTTAGCGGTCGGCGCTGGGAAATCAAACCTGGTACTTACCGCACACTGAACATAGTTTAGAAATGCCGAGATGTTTGAGAGAAAAAAAAAACAAAAGCGTCAACGATGACAACGCAGCCATCCTAACAGTGCACGAGATCCGGAACCATTGCCGGTTCCACGTGATGCGCCACCAGCTCTGTGCCGAATGACTGCATCAGTGAAGGTCGAAGAATTGCCCGAACATTGATACGTTATTACATCGGATGGTCGATCTGTTCTTAAAGACGCACGTATGATTCCCCATAACTATGATAACTATTGCAATTTTCATGTTATATGGCCGGTCGAAACGCATCGAGGTTGCCTGCACCATGCACCGCGACAACCACTCTCGTGCTCGTCCGCTTGACAGCGCACGCGCGGACTGCGAGGAGGTTGCAAAGAAAGTCTAGATTTATTTATTTCCTTTTTTGAAGAAATAAAAAAAGAACTTTAGCACCGCTACTCATTGTCTTCGAGCGGTGCGAAACGAAAGACACCGTGCAAATAATGCCGAGTCGTGAGGAGAGGTCGGGATGGAAGCCAGACCAATGGGGCGGCCCTCATTTGGGGAGATTCCACGTGGCCCGGCGGCGCATCTTGACATCCATTAGGAACTTTGTAGCTCCGAGACAATGCTCCAAGCACTTTGTAGAGGCGTGGAGAACGACCGGTGCTTCTTCTCGCGCGGCCGGCCGCCGGGAAATCCCGGGTAGCCGGCACGACGTCTTGCCGTCTGCAGCATCGAGAGATTAGCCAGGAAGTCCGGCCGGTGCATAACCATTAAGTTTTATTCTTCTTTCGCGACTGCAAGGGTTCTCTTTGCCGAAAGGTGGACACTGCAGCCCCGGGCCGTTGATCTCATGGCGGCTGCATGCGCCGGGGCCCTTCTTGTGCACAAAGTGTGTGCGTGTGTGCGCGCGCAATGTAATTGCGGGGCCACAACCAAAACACATGAATGGCGCGGTGGTCCAGAAAGGCTGGAACTGGTTTCTTGAGGCGAGGAGGTGGCCCTCCGTAAACGCGCCGGCCACGCATCATCGGCGACCGAGAATCTGCACGGCAGGACAGCGGCCGTCGCCTGCCGCGCCCATCCCACCCGGAAGGGCACGGGCCGCAGAAACAGAAGCAGAAGCGGCGGCGGGCGAGGACTGCACTGCTAGTCAGATTCAAGGCCGCCACGGCGGCGGCGAGAAGTTGTCTCCGCAGCAGCTGTCCACTGACGTCGCCGATCTCCGCGAGGAGACAGAGGTCAAGGTGCGGCCACGTCTTTTGGGTGGCAGGCAGCTCAAGGCCCGTTGGCCGCTGGCTTCTTCCAGTCGGCGATGGAACGGCTACCGTTGCTGCTGCTGCTGTGCTCGCTGCTCCTCACGGCGGAGGCAGCCGTGCGTGAGAGGGAGGACCCACCGTCGGCCGGTTGCCAACTGGGCGCCAAGCTGTTCGGACACGGGGCCCGAGTGCCCCGGTCGGACCCCTGCGAGCGATGCCTCTGCTTCGCGGCACAAGTGATCTGCTGGCAGGAGCGATGCCCCAATCAGACGAAGCCCGGGTGCACCGAGCGCAGGATGCCCGGCGTCTGCTGCCCGGCCCTCGAGTGCAGTGACACCAGTGAGTATATATATATATTTCACTTATACTCGGTTTCACTTATCCTCAGCACGCTGGCTCCCCGGTCCCGGCACGATCGCGCTAAGCTCTAGCATTTATGGGGTAATGGTCTAAAGGCCGCACGGTCGGTAGCCATGGTCTGTGCAACCAGGTCCTCTGATCACAGCAGTCTACCAGTCCTTCCAGATCTTTACGTGCTCTAGAGTCCGCGGGGTAAGGATCTGTCTGACAGTGTGAAATAATGCGCATGGGAGAAGCCCGAAGTTCAGGGTAACAGCTCAGCACTTTTCGTGCATGAGAAGTTAAGATCCTGCCTTTAAATACATATGTGCCAGAAGAGTACACACGTGCATGGCACACCGCCTGGCACAGGGTGTCCGCAGGGTGGAGGTCAAAGAGGCGGGAGAGGAGTCAGTTGTCTCCTTGGATTTCGGATATTTTTCCATGTGGTAGCAGTAAGCGAAACAGCTTGATTGGCAAATGTCAAGTCCCACATACCCACGCAAAATGTCCTTCAGCATTGCCATCACAATTTGCACGTACCACCCTATTAACTAATCTCGTGGGGCGATTTATCCAATGCTATTCACCACGTGTTGACAGAAGGTTTTCAGGGGCCTAGATTGGGAAGAGCTAAAATAAGAGTTAATGGAGAGCATCTTAGTGACCTGCGATTATATTACTACATTGCTTTGATGAGTAACTCATAGGGACAAATTATAGTTCATGATTGCTGAGCTGGACATGTAATCAGAAGAGTACGCCTGAAAATTATTATGCACAATACTAATGTGCAACATTCTCGGCAGAAAACAGCGCTTTGCGATAAGCGGAGAGAGGATCGAAGTGGTAAAGGAATATGTCTACTTAGGACAGGTAGTAACCGCGGAGCTGAATCATGAGAGTGAAGTAACTAGAAGAATAAGGATGGTGGATCACATTCGGCAAGCATTCTCAAATCACGAATGGTAATATATCACTAGCCCTCAAGAGGAAAGTATACAACACGTGCATCCTGCCGTTACTTACCTACGGTGCACAAACCTGGAGGCTAACAAGCAGGGTTCAGCTTAACTTGAGGACGACACAGCGAGCGATGGAAGTGAAAATGATAGGAGTAACCTTAAGAGACAAGAAGAGAACAGAACCTTAAGAGACAAGAAGAGAACAGAGCGAGTCAGGGAACAAACTTATGCAAAGGATATCATAGTTGAAATCAACTATGATATCAAATGGTCGTGGGCCGGCCATGTAGCGCATAAGCAGGATAACCGCTGGTCATTAAGGGTAACTGATTGGGTTCCCAGAGAAGGCAAACGCACGAAGGGGAGACAGAAAGTTAGGTGGGCCGATGAGATTAAAAAGTTCGCAGGTATAACGTGGCAGCAGAAAGCACAAGACCGGTTTGATTGGTGGAGAGAGGCTTTTGCCCTGCAGTGGGCGTAGTCAAGCTGATGATGATGATGACGATGTTCATAAAAGAGAGGCTGATTCAGCTGGTTGGTGCTCGATTAATTGTGTTGTAAACTTTTTCAAAAAAGGCCAGTAAAACAACACATTAGACTATAGGACAAGCAGCCTGGCGGACGTACAATGGACACAGAAACGTACGGAATGCAGACATTAGTGCAATGAACAACAGGCAAGGTGAAAATGACAGACAGAAAATTGCGTTAAAACTTCAACTGAGCACTTGCTAACAGGAAAAAAATTCACAAGCTGCACCGGGGGCTGCTCAACCCGCAAAACATTACTCATAACAACGCCAAATTAACGGCACTAATTTCCCTAAATGATAAGATTTCTTTTTGCGTGTCACTAACTTTTTAAGTGACTTTCAGGGATCTTTCTTTAGCTATCTTTTACTTGTTTAGTAGCTTCCTGCACAGTTCGCCCCGCCGCGGCGGTCTAGTGGCTAAGGTACTCGGCTGCTGACCCGCAGGTCGCGGGTTCGAATCCCGGCTGCGGCGGCTGCATTTCCGATGGAGGCGGAAATGTTGTAGGCCCGTGTGCTCAGATTTGGGTGCACGTTAAAGAACTCCAGGTGGTCGAAATTTCCGGAGCCCTCCACTACGGCGTCTCTCATAATCATATGGTGGTTTTGGGACGTTAAACCCCACATATCAATCAATCAATCAGCTTCCTGCACAGCTTGTGAATGTTTGTTTGTTTTTTCCGGCGAGGCAATGCCAGTTTAGTACTTCGTCCCATAGTAGCGGTATTAGAGCACTGCTCTAATACCGCTCTGAATACATACGATAAGGTACGTCGTGAGGGCGTGCTCATATGCACCGCTCTTCTTCAAGAAGAACGCGTGTTTTTAGCGTGGGGACACACACCCTTGCGGGTGACCCCCCCCCCCCCCCTTCCTCCCTGAAATTTACCTTTGAAACATCGTGTATTCCAACTGATTGACAGTTAGGTGCAGCAATTTAGCCATTGAATCTTTTTTATCCTCTGTTTATTTTGTAGGGCGTACCTGTGTTAGATACCTGTCAGCTGTGTAAAGTTATTGAAATCGCAGCTGCCATTCAACTGGTTTCAGTGGTGACTGAAGAGAACAATGCAGTTACGCGAGCGGGAAAAGCATGCTCGTTTTTTTTTCACTTTTTGTCGAAGTACTTTAATAATTATATAAATAAAGATAAAACCTAGATATTTAAAAACAAAACGGCCGTCATAGCAAGATATACGATCGCTTTCAGATTTCATTTCTGTGGTGGCCTTCATCCGAGCTTAGAATGACAAAGATCGGCTGCTGACCCAAAGGTCTCACGTTCGAACCCGGCTGCGGCGGTCGCATTTTGGTGGAGGCGAAATGGTATACAAAGACCCGTGTATTGCGCGATGTCAGCGCACGCCCAAGAACACCAATGGTCAAAGTTTCCGGAGCCCTCCACTGCGTGGTGTCTCTCATAATCATATCATGGTTTTGAGACGTTAAACCACAGATAATATTAATAACAGAGGTGAACGAGTTGATAAGTATTCATTCTAACAGACACAGGTCGTGCAAACACGGACGCAAGTCAAGTCGCCCATTATCCACTGAAGCTGCGCACAAAGGCGGAAAGGAAATAAGGCACGAAAACTTACCTGCGCATGCCCATGCGAAAGGCGAACTTATAAAATCTGAAACGCGCGGGGGGTCTATGCGAAAGTGTAATAATGTCAAGACACGGTTGATTACATATCTATGCGAGTACGGTTGGCTGACGCATGCTCTACGACTGTTATCGATATCCTGCTAGTCGGCCTTTGTGAAGTGACGTCTTTCGTGTGCATTACCGTAATGAATCAACTCGCTCGCCTCTCCATTTTGTCTGTCTTGTGTCCGTGTTCGCATGACCCGTCTCTTAGAGTGAATACTTCGTACAAGCATCACTGAGGAGTCACGCCAGAGCAGATTCCCTGCAGTGGCCATTGTACAGGGCGAGGGGAGGTCAAGAGTTCCCAGGCCACTATCCCGTGTATTTCTATGGCAGCGTGGCCTGGGAACGTTTGACCATGACTGTGCATATTGTACCAGGACTGTACTGTACAGGACGGAATTGCATTATGTGTGGTGTTCTATCGATGACTGTGTGTAACAATAATGTATGCTTCTTTGTGCTTTTACTTAGCCGAACTGTAACCGGCTGGGAAGACCAGTCAAGCTCACAGCAGCTTTTTCTTCCCATGCCCTCGACTTGCTGAACTGGAAAGTGAAATGATTGATTGAAGTCTAAATGTTATCTCTCTCTTTCTTTGCAGCCACACCCGTGAAAGCAGTGCCGGCTGCGGCGGCAGAGCCCGATCCAACACGATCCGAGCCAGTTGTGGTGGAAGCCTCTCTTCACGGAGAAAGCCACCACCAACAGGGCTGCGTCCTGGGCGGACAGCGGTTCGCGCTGGGAGACTTGGTTCCCAGGGCCTCGGGCCCGTGCATGCAGTGCCGCTGCGCCGATGGTCCCCGGCTTCTGTGCCGAGCCACGCCCTGCGCGGGGCCCGTCATGCTGGGCTCTTCATCGCCTCGGCGCCCACCGCCGCCCACGCACACGGTGCGCCGGATAGCGCCCACTCTGGTGCTGCCCTGAGCAACATCGGCCGGCGTCCAGGGGGTCACCCCGAGGTGTCCGGACACGCCGCCAGTCAACTCCCCAGTCATAACCCGCAAGACGTCTTCCAAAATCCGGCGCTTTATTCCAGAAACTAAGGCGAACAACCGACGGCCCTCAATGGCATAGGCCGGCAAAATTGTTTCAGCCTCACTCAGAATCACTCAAGATAAGCATTTTTCGCTTAGGATTCACTCGAAATCAGAAATTGCTGAAGCGGGCTAACTCAAACTCGCGAAGCTTCTTCATCCGAATTCTTTCGGACTCATACTCACCAAGACATTCCACGAAAGGGGTGACTCAGACTCAGACTCACGAACGTTTTCTTCAAGCAGACTCACTCGGACTCAGATAAACCAAAATTTTCCGCAAGTGGGCTCACTCAGCCTCACCGCCCAATCTGAGTCTAAGTGAGAATCAACTCAAGAGCGAGTTTGCCACCCTATACGGTCAATTTAGGGCACACATAAGTCGGCGGCTGTATGTCTTTAGCGGGCGACGCGGCAATGCGCAGATATCGAACTCGGGACTAGAGTAGTATAATGCTTCTTACTTAGCGAGGCTAAATCTTTGACCTTGTTGGTGTGACATATTCATTAAGAGCTCAACTGGAACGACGTGGATTGAACAGGGAGTAACACACACGCGGTAACTTGCAGGAATGCGTGTCTTCTTGGAAGCTCGTCCCGTTTTACTTCGCCCTGTTTTCATGCATAATAGCAGGTACCAAACTCCAGAGGCGTGCGCAGTTTCTCTGATAGAGGGGAGGGAAGCACCCCTCCTCCGTTATTCCACTGGCCGAGCCTGAAGAAGACATGCTTCGCGGTGGATGGAAAAGTGGGAAGGGAAGTGTTAACGCACTTTTCACGATGGCCCGCCTCTGGTTCTCAAATTTGCGAGGATAAAGGCAGGAGGTACACAGTTCTTGCAATGCAACATCAGGGGAAATCGGTCGCCATTATCGTAAAATCCGTTGATGACCATCACTTGTACATGACGGCCAGTGGCGGATCCAGAGGGCGGGCAGTAGGGGTGATACACCACCCTCCCCCTCTTCGGCTTGTGTCAGCCCCCCATCCCTCTTCTCAGCGCTTGTCGTCCATCTTCTATCACCAATGTGAACGAATGGGTGGGACCACAGTGAGCACACATTAGCAGTATTTACGCTATGAGAGGGTTTTCATGCTAGTAAACACAAAAAAGTCCAGACCCCCCACCCTCTGGTGTTACTTCAAGCGACCCATCCCTAAATTGAGTCCCTGGATCCGCACCTGATGCCTGACTGAGCAACGATGTAGGGCAGATTTGATCACTTGAAATGGAGCCCAAGTTGAGCGTCCTCAGAGCTATCATTACGTTGGTCCTGATTGTAACAAAAGTGCATGCGATGCGGGTCAGTAATGGCGATACAGTCTCAAGATTTCACTTGCATGAATGTCATACAACTCGCGTCAAACAGTTCTTGTAGCTGGCTGCAAATAACTGTTGCATCTCGGACGTCGGCAAGATCGCTGGCGATGACCGCCCACATGTCGGGGACGGTATCGGCCGCAAGACCTGGGAAGATGTCTGGCGAGAGACGGGGCCGCTTCTTTTATTTCTTGTTTCGTCGTTGCAATAACCCCAAGCAGTATGCGACAATGTAATAAAAGTGACTCTCTGTACCCCAACACCTGTTCAGCCGATCAGTGTTCGAAGTACAATCACTATTCATTGAGACACACCAGACAAAACGAAGAGGCCTGAAATGAACGCAGACTCGCAACTCGTTTATTATTTTTATTTTATTTATTCAATACTGCCAGCCACCCTTTGGCAGCCAGGGCAGGAGTGGAACAGTGCAGAGTTTGAACACAAAGTTTACACGCGACCAGTAACACGGTCCGCGGTACACAGGGAAGCAATAATGCAGTAAGCTTACAGATTGTCACGACACACAAGCGCACGCAATCAGTAACACGGCCCACGATTCGCAAAGCAGCAGTAATTCTCGTTACAAATAGCTACATGAATATACAATAAAACCGGCAATGCTAGTCTAATGCGAAACACACAAAGTACACTACGCGCATTGACCAGGAAGCGTGAAAAAAAATTAATCGGATGTTGCCATGTACAGATAAAAGATTAGTAATAAGAATGATACTGTACACATGATGGTAACTAAACACGTGCTCATATTGACACGACATGATCCGCTATAAAATGTACATTTGTATGGACAAGAGGCAGTGTGATAATACTTAACGAAACGTACTTCGCAAGAAGGCAGACTCTTTGTCCGACAAAGAGACAAATGCGTGCGTTGTCATCCCAGACACAGTGGATTTCCGTAATCTTGGCAAATATCGCAATGGCGGCAGTTTAAGCCATTTACAGAGCCCCAGCCACCCTTCGTGCCGATCCGAGTTTACCAATGGAGGAATATGAGTGTTCACAATAGCACCCTTGGTACACTCAACTATGGAACCCTTGGCAGATAGTTATTCCCCATGTTTAGTATATACGAAACGACTTTAATAATTATGCTTTTTCACTGCCAACAAGCTGCACGTGTTAAAAATGAAAGAACCACCACCGTCCAATTTAAATGAAAGCCACAGCGTTGCGCCTGGCGTTGCGTTGGTACGTGTCACTGGGAATGCCTATAACGGACGCCATACTGCTTCGAGGATTTCTCTTTGGATCACCACTACGGCCGCAGTCGACAGCTACGTTCCTCACTTCTATAGTGACGTCATAGGCGGCATTTCTGGTGAAGTTGATGTACACATAGACTCTCACCATGTCTATAGGGGTTCTCAATCCTATTTGAGTTTGATCTTCCCTAATATTTCTACAACACTGAAAGAAGATTTATCGCCGTATAGTTCTTCATGTATTTCGCGGCTCTCTTCTTTTAGTGAATTAGCGAGACGTTGGCGTTTCATCGCATCGGTATGTATTACTACTCTTTCACTTATATTTCAGGGACGAGACAATGTGTGCTCGCCACACGATGGTGTAGTGAGCGATCTTGTTCGACTGCTGACCCCGAGGTCGCGGGATCGAATCTCGGTCGCGGCGGCCGCATTTCGACGGAGGTGCAATGCCCGTGTACCAATAGTTGGGTGCACCTTAAAAAAAAAAAAAAAAACTGAGGCGGTCAAAATGCCCCGAGTGCTCCACTACGCTTCGTAATCATATCATGGTTCTATGGCGTACAGCACAATTATTTTATTATTATTATTATTATTATTATTATTATTATTATTATTATTATTATTATTATTATTATTATTATTATTATTATTATTATTATTATTATTATTATTATTATTATTATTATTATTATTAATCCCTGCGCGTGAAAAAGAAACCGAGTAAACTCTCAAAAAAAAAAAAAAGAATCTGCAGAGCAAACAGCCGCGCACGTTGAATCCGTACACTCGTGGAAAGTCTATATTGTGCCGCGAATCGGTTCCCTTGCTGTCCGAACAAAACGACAAAAAACAAAAAAACAAACGAAGTTACGTAGTGCAAGAGCTTATATTTCTGTGTTGCACGTAACACCTGTTATACCGAGAAATGCGTACGTCGCGCCTTTTTCCCGCTCACCCCTGGCTGAAACAATGTCACGAAAGGGCGAACCTGATCCCGCGTATGGCCGGAAGTAAGAAATCCCCGCTGTTTTCCGGCCATATTCTTAATTCGGCGTGCATTGTGATTATAATAATTATTTCGGCCATCAAGTGCGCAGTTTGTGCAGCCAAAAAAAAAAAGACGGTAACAATGTTAATTCTTGGAGTTTGACGTCCCAAAACCACCGTGATTGTGAGAGAGGTATACGCCGTGGAAGGCCCTGGAAACATGAAACACTAAGGGCGCGTGCCAGTGGTTGGACCTTGAACACGTAAATCCAACTACGCGGGGCTCAAGCACTTTCTCCTGCATCGAAAATGCGGCCTCCACTGCCGGCATTTGATCCCGTGACCTGCGTGTCAGCAGTCGAGCCCCATGAACACTATATAGATCACCACGGCGATTAAATAGATAGATAGATAGATAGATAGATAGATAGATAGATAGATAGATAGATAGATAGATAGATAGATAGATAGATAGATAGATAGATAGATAGATAGATAGATAGATAGATAGATAGATAGATAGATAGATAGATAGATAGATAGATAGATAGATAGATAGATAGATAGATAGATAGATAGATAGATAGATAGATAGATAGATAGATAGATAGATAGATAGATAGATAGATAGATAGATAGATAGATAGATAGATAGATAGATAGATAGATAGATAGATAGATAGATAGATAGATAGTAAGCTGCAGGGTGCCAACTTCTCATGCATTCCAGAAAGCATGTCACCCTGCGCACAACGATATCAGGTTTCGATGTACGCACCTAGGCGATTCTCCAAGGTTATCGGACGAGTTACGAGTGGCGATGCTTACAGAAGAACGTACGATACTATAGCAGATACGGCTAGCCCGCATTTCCTGGTTTCGGAGTGCAACTCGACGAGTTCAAAGACACAATATCGCCGTGTCAACGTACTTACAAGTCTCGGAAGCGCGACGTCAAGATATCATCGACTCTCCGAGCGGAGAGTGGTAGTGTTTACGGAGCAAAATAGTTCAGACCATCGCTCGCTGCGTCGTCCTCAATTTAAGCTGAACCCTCTTTGTAAGCCTCGGGGGCTCTGCTCCGTAGATAAGCATCGGCAAGACGCAGAGTTTTTGGCAATCTACCAGTTATAATTTGAGTGCTTGCCAAATGTGCTCCACCTCATTCTTATTCTAGTTATTTCAATCTCGTGGTTCGGCTCCGCGGTTATTTCCTGTCCTAAGTAGACGTAGTATTTTGCAACTTCTAGCGCACTGTTACCTATCTCGAAGCTCTGTTCTCTTTCGTAGTTGTACATTGCTTTGGTTTTCTACAGATTAATTTTAAGACCTACCTCTCTGCTCTCCTTGTCTAACTCGTAATCATGAGTTGCAATTCGTCCCCTGAGTTACTCAGCAACGCAATGTCATCGGTGAAGCACAGGTTGCTAAAGTACTCTCCATTAACACTTATCCCTAACTTTTCCTATTCTAGGCTTAATATGGAAAGGAAAGTAAAAGCACGGAAAGGAAAATGATTGGTGTACCCTTGAGAGACAAGAAGAGAGCTGAGTGGATCTGAAAAAAAAAAAAAAACCGGGGCAAAAGATCAAGAAGAATAAATCGACATGTACCGGGCACGTAGCGCATAAGCAGAATAACCGCTGGTCATTAACGGTGACTGACTGGATTCCCAGAGAAGGCGAGCGAGTTAGGGGAGACTGAAAGTTAAATGGGCAGATGACATCAGGAAGTTTGCGGGTATAAATAAAGTGGAAGCAACAAGCGAAGGACCGAGTTGCCTGGCGGAACATGGGAGATGCTGTTGTCTAGCAGTGGGCGAAGCCAGGCTCATCACGATGATGATGATGATTATAGTTCAGACACGAGACCATCTCCCGGCGCACAAGTGCCCTTCGTTACGAAGCGTGAAAATCCCGTCCTCTCCGGATTAGGGCGGTCAATAAAAATGCGAGATGCATCCCCTATCTAGATGTCACAAAGTACGCATTTGTGACGTGCACGCAATCTTGCCATCGCTATCTTGCCTCGAAAGGTCTACTTCCCGCAACACGATCCGTGGCGCAATGTGTGCGCAGCTCGTGTAAATTACGCCTTCGTAATCTTATCAATGCACGACAAGCTCTTACGCATATTTGCAAGGACAAGTTTTATCGCCGACCATTTTGTTTGCGTGTGCACTCAGAGCAGGAGCCTTTTTGGTCTACCCTACAGCATTGCGCTTCTGTTTCTTTTATTTTTTTGGAGGGGCCCTGCAACACTTCTTGAGCATGGTCAGAAAACGCTGCCGATCGGTAGTTTATTGTTTATTGTTATTTGTTTATTGTGGTGTTTTGTATTTTATGTTGGATAAAGCTGGCTGTCAACCTAGAAGGATCAAGGTGGCGAAGTGTGAAAGCTGAACTCCTTACGATTGTAGAGTGTCCTGATAATACACTAGGCATGATAATGATGATTTTTATGTGTATGCAAAGAAAACGAGGAGGGTCCCTATTTTGGGACACCTGTGACAACCTCTGCTAGAGCTGAAGAAGCCCCCGATAGACCCGTCACGAAGTGTGCCTTCCCACTGCTCTGCAGTACGGATGCACCGATGGTTTGGTGGGAGGAGAGGGAAGTAGGCAGCGGTGCACTATACGTTGACGTGAAAGCTGGCGCTATA